CTAGCACCAGAAAAATTCCGGTGCTGCATAGTAAAAATTCCGGTAACGCACAATAAAAGCTTGATCCCTGACTGTTTTCTATTACATGATAAATTTCATTCAATAGTTAAAAATGAGTAAACATTGTCATTCAGCATATCATCCTATTAATTTTATTTTAACCTCTCCTCCAAGTCCTCTCTCCCATATTAAAAGCAGAATGCGCGGCAAACGTATGTGGAACGTTTGACAGGCCAATGTATCTCTACAGCGTTATACACCTCATGAAGAGAAAATAAAGGGCACTTATTTGATTTCTTAACCGTTTTATCACAACACTAATTAATATTTCACTGAATTAATATTATGAAAAACATTAACCTGGGGTTTCAGTAAGGAGATATGTGAGAGAGGAGGCTAGAGGAGGCGACGGAATAAATCATCTGGTGGCCTATTCTCGAAATATTTTCGTGCGCGGAATCGACTCCGTTGACGGAACGCCTATATGATTCCTATACGCAATTCGTCTACGAAGCCACTACCGTGCACGGAAATATTTCGAGAATAGGCCCCCTGGTCACGTTGAGTTGATGTTCGTGGTTGCGGAGGGGGCACGAAGAGTGTCGTAATCTTACGAATGCGCGATCGGGTCCTAGGATTCTGGTAGGGCACCGGAAAAATTTGCCAGCCAGTGTCATAATTTTTCTCGTATTTCTCGTAAAAATTCACTGTCGCTTCGATTTTACCGTGCTGCACAAGAATTTTTCCCCACATTTATCCGAAAAATGACTCGTGCAACAGTACTTTTTCCTACTCTTTGCGGTACATTTGGCCTGGAAAGACCATCTGAACCAACTTTACTGTGCGGGCACGGTAATTTTTCTCGTACATTTCNTGACTCGTGCAACAGTACTTTTTCCTACTCTTTGCGGTACATTTCGCCTGGAAAGACCATCTGAACCCACTTTACTATGCGAGCACGGTAATTTTTCTCGTACATTTCTCTCCGTATGTGTACTCACATTCGTTGAAAACGAAATTTATGCCCTTGTACTCTAATGTACTATTATTAATATGGCACGAGGAAGAAACGTCTGAACTCTACCAACTGCTCCGGCAGACTAAATACCGGTTACGAAGACCAGAAGAATATCGTCACCTATCGACAAAGAACTGTTCTTTCTGCTCATGGAGTTATTGTTTATGTTTATATTAACGTAATATCATCAAATAAGTTCTCAGTAAAGAGTTATATAGTCCAACACCTTTAACCACAGGGTATTTTTCTGTAGTTTATCATTTTTTTGCAATACCTGCCTGAAAAGTTCACTTAACGGGGCTGTTTGGCGGGTGTGAAGTGTTTGTTTTGTTTTAAAAATGGTTTTAGACAAGTGGGAGATGTGCAGCGCTACCCTTCCAAGGGCCAAAGAACACTTTTTCCACGAATGCCGAATCCGATTTTTCATCAAAATGTATGGAAAGTGATATTTCGGTGTCATTTTTGATGAGATTTTCGGTTTTATCACAATATGTGGAAGCGGAGCATACCTAAAATTACACTTTACGCACAAGTGATAATAGTATATTAGACCACAAGGGCATGAATTTCGTTTTCGACGAATGTCAAGTTTACAGGTCGAGCCAAAGGGGAGGTCTGTACTCACATTCGTTGCAAACGAAATTTATGCCCGAGTGGTTTAGATTATTTTATGTTACATCGTGCGATAGCGCGAAGCGCAGCGTGCTTTAAACTTGACTTATCGTATGGCGTGACATAAACTATATTGATCTAGCTCATACCTACTTCAATCTTTGTTAAGATAATTCTACCTAGATTATCACTTTTGTAAGTAATCATGTTATTGGTTTCGGCTGTTTGACTTTGGATATAAATAAATAAAATAAATAAAATAAAATAAAATATGATTGCAACCCTCGCCTTTGGTTCATGTTATAAACCTCCCACGAGCCAAAAAACACTTTTCCCATGAGTATCGAACGATATTTTTCATCACAATGTGTGGTAAAGGGACAATGTATGGAAGTTACTTTTTCGCACAGCGTGATGAAATAGTATATTGTGTTCCAAGTGCGTAAAGAACCACTTTTTCGCACGGACGCGTATTACATCCTATTTTTTGTGATACTTGCCAAGTTCACTGTTCGGAACGGTAGTGGGCGTAATGTGGTTATTTTTGTGGACGAAGTGCGTAAAATTCAAGGCCGTGCGTAAAGTCAAACTTCACGCACGACCTCTGAACTTTACGCACGCCGTGCGTAAAACAAGCACTAGACGTACAGTAAACGGTCTCGAAAAGTGAACTTTTCGGGCAAAAAAAATTTTTTTTCGGCTTTATGACGAAATTTACTATTTCGTGCTTTGCTTTACGCACTCGAAATTTACTTCACACACGAACTTGAAGTTTACGCACTCCGCCCAAACAACCAAACACTGCACCCCCGAAAAGTGAACTCGGTAGGTATTACAAAAAAATAGGATGTATTCACCGTACGTACGAGGAAGTGGAACTTTAGACACTTGTACCACAATCTAGTATTTCAGAATTTACGATTTCTGAAAATAATCCAAAAAGAAAGTGGGTTCTAAAAGTCTATCCATTCGCTTCCAAATTCCCGAAATTTTTTTTTCTCTGTGAAATGAATCGAAAATCACAGAAAAAACATTGTTAACGTAATTATTCATTATTATATTCCCTAGCAATTTCTATGAAGTCTCAGTGTAACAAGTTGAGCTCGTAGAATCGAGGGTGAATGAAATTACCTGTGCGATGGTATATAGACAGCAACACTCAGGTAAACTAGAGCAACACAGCTGATGACTATTGTGAGTTGACAACAGCAGATGCTACCGCATATCCTACGATCCTGCTCCGGTATTAATCGTGGTTTGTACTTTCTACCCATTTTCGTAGTTTTACAAAACTTCCAATTTAATTAAATAAAAATATATTTGGGTAGAAAAATACTTCTTTATGTACACGTAAATATTTATTAAACTTTTTATCCTGACAGATGATAAATGCAACAATTTTTAGTTTTATTTCGTCGTGCTGTTGAAATTCACGAGATACTGAGATTTATTAGCGTTTTACTTTTTCATAATGAAAAATTGAAATTATCAACAATCATTTATCTAGAAGCCAGAAATATGCTTAAATTATTTTTTTATAGTTGTTTTTTGCATTAAAATTTATGGAATAGTATTTTCAGAATTCATCCAATTTAAATTGAGAAGTAAAAAAGGTGATAATTTTTCAATGGAAAATGGAAAATGTTCGATGAAAAATTAATCACTAATGTTATGTTAAATTATTGTAAATATTCCAACGTGAAAAAAAATGTTTGCGATTATCAACAATTTGTTGATGGAGAAGCCTTGAATTTCTGTACTTAGGCCGGAATAAGTCGCCTCAACATCAACTTTCACTCTCTAAACATCTACGGTAATTCACAGAGATCTCATTTCCGTCCATCTTCGGGACCTATCGCACATGACACATCAACACGTAACGACTTGATTCCCCCGAACAGTGCAAAGGGTACGTTGAACACGACTGCCGTCCAAGCGATGATTCTAACGTATGGTCAGACGTGGTGAGCCGTCTCACCCCGATTATTCTCAGCGCAGGTACGTCTGAGTACTGCGTACGATAGAGACTGAGGAGAGGTGTATATACATGCGTGTGCGATCGCCCGGAATCTACTCTAGAGGGGTTGGACTTGCGCTTTCGTGTTTCAGACTGAATTGACGCCACAGTATTATTCGAGTTCGTTACACTCTTGGCCCGTGACCTCCAGAGTCGGTGAATCTATGTTTCCATGAAAAATAATGAGGATAGGAAGTGAAAAAAAAGACGAATTGCAGTAGTTTTGTCGTTTTTTCATGAATTTTCGAGGGGATGTCCCGAGAGTTTTCAAGATAACAAGATTTGCTGTGAGGAGAAGAGGAAAAAATTGCAGCGAGAGGAAAGGTAAATGAAAATTACCTAGAAAATCGTGGCAAATTTTACTATATGAATAGTAATCGTGCAACGAAATGTAATTCGATGGAGAAATACCTGCACTGATAGAAAGGATTAGTTATTGTTAACAAATGGATTTGGTTGAAGTCTAGGGTCTATTCGGTCTCACCAAATGTTCATACGTAAATAGTTAACAAATGCATATTGAAGGAGCCTTGTTTGACTCGACTTTCACCTTTCAAGTGAACCATTCGTTATTAAAGAATATTTAATTGGTCATATTCAACTCCATCATTCGTTAATAGTTAACGAATCTTGTTTGAAATGAATGAATCACTCTATCAGTATTTGTGGACGATATTTTACGATTTCTTCAGGAAAAAAACACATCTATAGATGCAAAAATTATCTTCCTGTACAGTAAAATTTCTGATATCGGTAGAGTATTTTTGCTTCCGAATGGAAGCTTTGTAATCGCTCAAATTTAAGTTTCCAACTTTTATGAGACTGAAGATCTGTACATCTGCATTTTTTAAAGCTTGAAAGATCGCACAATGGGAGAATAGCAACGTTTTTTCGATTCTTTTTCTCACATGAAAATCCCATAAGTGAAAAATTTATAAAAATTTCTATTCCGATTTTCAACTAAATCGAACGCATTGACAATTTTTTTTTGGTCGATACTCACAACAGTCAATTATTAAAATTTTTTGAAAGCTCGACTCGCAGAGAATCTCCGTGTTCAACCTCTAAATGTCTAAATTTTGTACTACCTAAGGAAATCGAATTCTAGGATTGTCGGTCGGCTATTCTCCTTTAATATCCCCATTTCCTGTCAATTAAACGTAGTAGTAGTAGTAGTAAACTACAGATGAATGATTTTTTCCAACTTTGTTTTCTCACAAAAATACAAAATACACGGGGCTGCGAAACACCCACCGTGCGACCAGTAACGTTCGATAGAGAGCTGCGACCACTCAAGGGTTATAGAGCTGCAAACAGCCCTTTAGAAAAGGAGAAACCCATGGTTAACGTACTGGTGGCTAATTTTTTTTTTATTCGATAGATATTGAGACGTAGATCAAATTTTTCTAATGATTTTTTGCATTTCGAGGGGGGCGCATATAAGAAAAACATTAAAAAAGCCATTGAAAAGGCCTTTTTCCCGATTTGTGAGGAAATGGTCTACTTTTTTCAATTTTTTATAAAATTCTTCTTTAAAGATCTCAACGAGTTTTACATTTTTTGTCTTTTGGGTTTTTTCGATTAATCACATCCTGAGCTCGTAATTTCAATGAGTTTATTAATGTTATAAAAAAATGAAAGTACTAGTGGCTGTTTTTCTTACTGATCGATAGCTTTCATTATTTAAATGAAATTGTGTAAATAGTTTTCATGTTTTTGGATGATGTATTCATAAAATAGTACATTAGAGTACAAGGGCACAAATTTCGTTTTCAACGAATGTGTAGTTACAGGCCGAGCCGAAGGCGAGGTTTGTACACACATTCGTTGAAAACGAAATTTATTACCGAGTGCTCTATAATATTTTATGTCAAGTCGTGCAGAAGTCGAGTTCTGAGCAAGCTGCGCGAAGCGCAGCGTGCGATAAACTCGACTTATTGCACGGCGCGACATAAAAATAATAATATAGTGCGAAATCCTTCTGTGATAACTGTAGCGCGTCAGTAGCGCTTCAGGTCGCAGAGTAGAGGTAAGGTAAACCTACGTTAATGTTAGAGAGTGGTGGAAGAGGCGATTCACTTCATTGGTTCACGGAAATTGTTCTTTGTTATTTTATGTATCAAGGTTTATACATTTTAATAACGACTTTTTGTTGGTTTGTAAAAAAGGGGGAAAAATTATCTTAATTAATAAATTATTCTAAAACGTTGGTGAACTGTCTACTTATATATTTTATGTAACAATTTTCATCAATAACATTGGTATCATAGTTCATTTGCATGGAAAATTTTACAATCTGTTTCCAAATAGAATTTATTATTATATTCACATTTTCTTCAATATTCTAGGGGACTAAATAATAATTTTCTTCAAATAGATTCACCAAAAACATCATTGACACTATTCTCCAGATTTTCAATATATTCTGCTTGACACAAATTAGAATATTTTGAGGAAGATTTGCAAAGATCACAGCATTCTAAATTTAATGCAACACATGAACACAATTCATTAGAGCTCCCTGATCTCATGGTACAAGAATAAAAATATTTATCAAGATAGTCTACAACTGACATTCCATCGAAATAAACAGGGAGCAAGACGCGATTTTCCATTGTCCAACCATTACGAAGTGGATCTCTTGATATAATTTCAGGATTGAGAGCTTGCATCCATTCATTTACTTGCCAACATAATCTTAATATGTTGAATCAATTCTCAATATATCGAAAATCATAGATGAAAAGCCTTTTAAAAACCAAAGAACAGTCGTTATTGAAATGTACAAACCTTGATACATAGAATACCAAAGAACAATTTTCTTAACCCAATGAAGTGAATCGCCTCTTCCACCACTCTCTAATATTAACGTAGGTTTACCTTGCCCCACTCTGCGACCTGAAGCGCTACTGACGCGCCACAGTTATCACAGAAGGATTTCGCACTATATTATTATTTTTGTATGAATACGTCATCCAAAAACATGAAAACTAGTTTCCAAAATTTCATTTAAATAATGAAAGCTATCGATCAGTAATAAAAACAGCTACTAGTTCTTTCATTTTTTTATAATATTAATAAACTAATTGAAATTACGAGCTCAGGATGTGATTAATCGCAAAAACGCCAAAAACAAAAAATGTTAAACTCATTGACATCTTTAAAAAAGAATTTTATAAAAAATTGAAAAAAGTTGACCATTTTCTTACAAAGGCCTTTTTCTTTTCTTTTCAAAGGCCTTTTTAGTGCTTTTCTTATATGCGCCCCACTCGAAATGCAAAAAAACATTAGAAAAATTTGTCCCACGTATCAATATCTATCGAATAAAAAAAAATTAGCCACTCCTACGTCAACAATCACTTAGTGAACGCAAATGGGGGCTGTTTGCAGCTCTATTAAGGAAGTTCCTCGTATAATATCTTCGTTATTCAACTAGTGTGCCAAAAAACTCTACTAACTTGCAGCAAAGCCCCAATCTCAAATGAGCTTTGCTTCCGGAAAAATTAATAAAATTACTCCTCTGTTTTTAATAGCTAAAGTTTTTTTTTGACTGAGGCGTTTAGTTAATAGAACTATGAAATATTACACAAGGAGTATTGTTTATGATTCCATTGATGCTCGCCTGGAGGAATCTCTAAGTATAAAGGCATTTTTCTAAATAACTTAGTACATAAATTCACGTTAATTACAGAAAAATGCCTTTATGATTAGAGACTCCTTCAGGTGAGTATCAATTGAATCATAAATAATACTTCTCGCGTAATATTTCATAGTTCTATTAATTAAATGCTTCTGTAAAAAAAACATTAGCTATGAAAAACAGAGGAATAATGGTCTGGATTGCAGTGAAATTTTCACTGATTGTAAAGGAACTTTCTGTGAGAATCAGACAGAAGTTTTGGTTGTCAATATTTGTTACTAAAACCAAGAATCATATTGGGTACTTATCCAGAAGTATTGGGTATTTAAATTAAGACACGGTGGTTCTGGAATCCAGTAGTTTGGAGTTTTAGAATAAAACGGTAGGGTACTGATATCCAAAACCCTGGCATTTTCAGGATAAGAACCTTGCGGTTCTTGAGGGGAGACTACCATGAGTTTTAAAAGTCGTGGGTTATTGGAGTGAGACTTTTTATACGTTGAAGATCCATTATATAGATCTGACAACGAATAATTAGTGCAAAAAAATTTTTTGTTATTGTTCGTTTACCCGAAAACGCTTAAAATGCCAAAAACAGTACAGGGCCTCCAATTTTT